CCGTCGGGGGAGTACCCCCACGCTTGAGAAGAATAAGCTTCGCAGTTTCCTGTACCGGTTGCAGCTTCCAATTTCCACTGTTACAATTCTGCTTCTTGCTGCTTACTGTTCCTTGTTGGTGCACCGCGAGGGGGGGAGGCCCAAAACGGACATTTTTACCACACCCTCGGAGGGTTCTCAGACTTTCTGGTGTGGTTAAAACTGACACCCCTCACGCAGATCCGTAGGGTCAGGGTCCAAAAACACACGGGATTTGCCACATTTCTGAAATTCGGTGGCACCCCTCCTACAGATCCGTAGGGTCAGGGTCCAAAAACACATGGGCGTTGCTACATTTCTGAAATTCGGTAACACCCCTCACGCAGATCCGTAGGGTCAGGATCCAAAAACACAAGAATTTGCTACATTTCTGAAATTCGGTGGCACCCCGCACGCAGATCCGCAGGGTCAGGGTCCAAAAACATAAAGGATTTGCCACATTGCTGAAATTCGGCGGCACCCCGCACGCAGATCCGCAGGGTCAGGGTCCAAAAACACACGGGATTTGCCACATTTCTGAAGTTCGGTAGCACCCCTTGCGCAGATCCGCAGGGTCAGGCTCCAAAAACACTGAGGATTTGCCACATTTCTGAAATTCGGTGGCACCCCTCACGCAGATCCGTAGGGTCCGGGTCCACAAACACAAGGGATTTGCCACATTTCTGAGATCCGTAGGGTCAGGGGTCAAAAAAACACAAAGGATTTGCTACATTTCTGAAATTCGGTAGCGCCGCTCGCGCAGACCCGTAGGGTCAGGGTCCAAAAACCCAGGGGATTTGCTACATTTCTGAAATTCGATGGCACCCCGCGCGCAGATCCGCAGGGTCAGGGTCCAAAAACATAAAGGATTTACCACATTTACAAAATTCGGCGGCACCCCTCACGCAGATCCGCAGTGTCACGACGTCTTACCAACCGCCAGGTGTGGTAACCCCTCTGGTGATCAATTGGTTTTGCTCATTACGAGTCGGCCTCGCATGAAGTGCCGATACTGCTTCACGACAGCGCCCAGGCCTCATGGCATAGCTCTTGCATAGCGCATTATCCGAGAGAGGGGGCCGGCGGCAGGGGGCGAAGCCCTTACCGATAAGAATCGTCCCCAGACTATTATTTTACTATTTTTGAACATTCCCCCTGTAGAGGGGACACGCCCGACTTACTCTTACGATTTGCACGTTTGTTCCTTTTCGGGCTTCCGACGGCCCAGGACGGCCCGAGAGGCCACCCAAAGAGCCCCGCAACGGCCCAGGAGGCCTCCCGTCCAGGGCGGCAGCGCGGCAGCCTGGGAGCCAGGCCGATCGTCGTGCGGTCCGCCGGCGCCGGGGAAGCGAAAGGCGCGAGCCTGAGCTGGAACCGAAATGCCAGTCCAGCGCTGCGGGGACCGCCGGGAACACACGGCGACAGGAGAGAGGAGGACCGCGAATGACGCACAAGGGAACGCGGGAAACACCCACGGCGACAGTAGAAGAAGAAAAACACAAAAACCTAACAGAAACTTTTGGCGCTTCGCGCGGATTTCTTGGATTCGCGCTGGACCCCCTCCCTGGCACGCGGAGCGCGCCAGGGGCGGCGCCGGAGGCGGCGCCGCCGGGGGGCCCAGGCGCGGATCCAAGAGATCCGCGCGGAGCGCCAAAAGTTTGAGCTTATGTGTTTTTGATTTTCTGCGAGACAGGGCAGACCAGTCGCATCCATCTGCGGAGTACCGGCGAGCGGCGGAGAACGCACGCGCCGCGCAGGGGGGGAGGGCAGCAACAGCAATAGGGGGACGCAAGGGCGGCGCCGGGCCCGCGGGAGAATAAGATGCCCATCGGGCCTGTAGTCGAGCAAGGCGGGGACAAAGCGCGCGGCGTTAGAGCTGGGCGACCCAGGTCAAGCTCGCGGACCAGGGCAGCACACCAAAGGGCCAGTTCGGCCGCCCCTGAAACGAAGAGGCGGGCCCAAAAGACCCGCGTGGAGCCGCAGCGGTTCGGGGAGTCTTCCAGCATGCTGACCTCGAGCTTGGCCCGCTCGCGAAAGCGAGCGGCCTCAAAGGGATCACAGGGTGCTGCCGCGGCTCCGCTGGCCTGCGTCGCTCTGGCCGGCGAGGACGAAGGCCATCGCCGGCTCGTCTGAGGCGCCAGGCGCTCGGCTGCGGAGGCGGAGAGCCCCGACGGGAAAGCCAGCGGGGACCGTCGGATGTGCAGAGGTGCAGGGCCCAACGGCCGAGGCGACGATGGCAGCACGGTGGCGCCTGCCTGAAAGGCGTCGCGGCCATGGCCTCCATCTGGTCGAGGTGCCTGGAAAGGCCGGCGCTGGAATCGCCCAGCAGGAGGAGCGACCAGGGCCGCTGCGGGGGGCGCCCAGCCTCGAAGCTGAGGCTCGCGTGGGCGGGCGGCGGGGGCGGCGACGGGGGCGGCGAGAGGCGGCGCTGCGGGCTGGCGAGGCAGAGGCATGGCAAGCGGGGGTCCATGCTGGCCGCCCTTCATCGGGGAGGAAAGCGTCGGCGCGGCCTGCAGCGCCCCGACATCGGCCGGGCAGGAGCCTTCGCCGGGCCGCCCCCTCAAGGCAGTTGGAAAGCCAGGGGGGCTGGCCGGGGGGTCGTCGCTGCTGTCGTCAGCGCTGCGCTCTCACAGGGCCTCCTGTGCGGCGGCTGCGCCCACCGCTCTTGCCTCGGCGGAGCTTGGGGAAGGCCTGTCGGATCACGCCCGCTTGCACCCACGGTCCGAGTCGTCGCGTCGCACCATTCCAAGGCAACTGGGTGGGCGGGGCCCAGGCAGCTGCGCGGGCGTGTGGGGGGTAGCCGAAGGCCTGGAGGAAGTCGAGGACGTTGCCGTCGAGGCAGTAGTCGGGGGGCAGGGGATGTCTTCGAAGCGCCGCGGGGGCCCGCAGAAGGGGCCTGCTGTCGTCGGGAGTCCATGGCTACATCTGGGGCGACACCCATCGAGCGCTCCCCATGGGGAGCGCTCCCAAGACACGCCCAAGCTCCACCTTGGTTCGGACGGGGATCGTCCCAGCTTGGTCGGGTCTGCCGCACGTCGGTCGTGGGCATCCACTGAATGTACCCAGACCTTAGCCGCGGGAGCTGCGGTGGTGGATCAAGCGGGATGGCCGCGCCCGCCGCTGTGAGGGCGGGTCCGCGGGCCCATGAGGGATCGGCTTACTCATGGGGATGCCAGCCGTCCGACGCGGCTGCTGCCGTTCATCCGACCACATTCCCATTGACTGCACCGTGAGTCCCACTGGTGGTCGCGTGACCTGGAGGACGCAGACGCCCCGTCGCAGCCCCACCGTGCAGACGCTCGCGCAGACAAGGTGCTGCAGCAACAACGTGGAACCGCCGGCAGTAGAGATACCTTGTGCGGCGCCGAAGCACAGGCGGTAGCAATAAACCTCAGGCCCGTCGCCATCTGCAGCGCCAAAGTAGGCAATCTGAGACCAAACCCGAGCCATGCGCCAGCAGGATTGGTGGATATCACGCTGGTGCTAAGCCGCGGGATGGGAAGAATGGATGCCAAAAAGCAGACATGGGATGGACCGATGCGCGTCGCCGCCACGCACGACGCGTAAGTATTAGCCACCGTGCGCCTGTGTGCGAGCAGGCTGCAGAGAGGCCGTGTCAGCGAGGCATGCCCGCTCCGAGACGCACATTGACGCAAGACACGGTCACACACCTACACACGCACACCCATATACACACACTTCCTCTGGCGCGCCAGTTGGGTGCAATCGACGGTCCACGAACTACAAAGGTGGGAGACGCTCACGAGACATGTTTGGCGTCGCGACAGCGCGCGCAGCAAGAGAAAGTGCGCCAGACCCCCACGTTTGAAGGAGTGCGGGTGCTGGCCCCGTCCTGTATCTCGCAGGCTGCCGGCTCACCGAGGCCTCGCTTTGCTCTTCCCCATGAAAAAATTGTATCGTCTGTCATGGCACTCTGGAGAGTGGATGTAGCTATATACATATATATATATATATACACACACGTATAAATACACAAATATACACAGATTTGTGTTTGGCGTCGCGGCTACGCACGCAGCAACGCGGCGAAGTCAGGCTGCTGGTCAAAGAGGGCAGAGCGCCAGGGAGTCCAGCACAGTACATACACACACAAGTACACGCAGGCACGCACACGCTGCCAGAATCCCTGGGGGGGGGAGCTAGCGGCATGCCGAAAGGCACCATGGATTTGGGTGAAGACGTAAAGAGCAGGAATGAAGCCTAAGATAATCCTCCCCGCCCAAGTCGCCGCATCTGGGAGTTCCTCATCACTGTCATCGCTGTAGAACGGCTCGCCCTGCATCTCGTCGGCCAGGATGTCCTCGGCGGTGTCCGCAAACCGAGCGGGCGAGCAGGAAGCGGGCGAAGTCAGATCGAAGCATGCTAGCACGGGCGGAGATTCCTAGGTCATCGGATTCCGCGCGTCGCGCCCCACGATGCGCCACTTGCAGTGATCTTCGCTCCCTCGCGAGGCCACCCTGACGAAAGGTAGCTCTCCAGCCCAGGCCACGAAGCGCGATGGGCGGTTCATTACCTTCGCGCCCCCGCGGGTGACCTAGCGATTCCAGGGGCAGCTGCTAGCCCAGAGGGGATAGTCAGGGAGCTACGTGGAAAAGCGAGGAGAATAGCTGCGAAGTGGTTGTCATGTCCTGCCCCCGTACCCTCTCCCCTTTTGCTCCTCGTCATCATCCTTCTCTTCCCTCTCCACGCTCTGGCCAGCTCTACATATCATAGCGGACCGACCCTGGCCCCAGCAATCAAATCGGTTGACCAGATGAGCCTGCGACAGCTTGCAGCCAAGGCCTCCCAAAACAGGCGGGCCAACATTGGCCGAACGAGGCGTTCGACTCGAACCAGACCTGGTTGCGCCTGGTGCCTTGGACTGGGTCCGATCCACTTCGATGGTAGCCGTTGTCCTCGCGGTCTCTTTGGTCGAACAACCACACGTCGGGTATCTTGCCATTCTTGGTGGCTGGAAGCTGCTCCAAATATCTGAAGTCCTCGCCCAGGTCAGCACCACCAGACTTCAGCACCTGCATGCCGAAGGGAACCTTCGACCTCGGAGATTGAGCGGCGGACAACTGGCTGCTGGGATCCGAAAACATGGCGGCCCATGTCCGCGTGTCAGTTTGCATACACACACACACAAATTTTGGCGTCGCGGCCCCGCACGCGACGACAGGGCGCAAAAGGTCGAAAAACACCGCGCGGGCACCTAAGCCCGCCGGAGCCCTCAGAGACCACTTGGGCACTTGGGGTCCAGCAGCCAGCTGTCATCACCATCCAGAGGCACACACACACACACAAGCACTGTTTTCCCCCGGCGAAGTGGCACCACTGCCGCGAATCTCGAGCATGTGCAAGGCGCGCCCACACGAACGGCGCCCAGCATTGCGGAGGAGAAACCCACACGAAGCCGGCAACGGCAGGGGGAGACCACAACTGGCCTGCGTGCAGAACGGACTCCCTGGAGACTGCGGAGGAGCGCGGCGACCACCGTGGGGACGCGCGGGGTGAAAGAAACGGCGAGCGTGCAGCCCGAGCAGCAGGACACAAACACCCACACGTTTTTAAGTCGGCGGCGAAGAGGAGCCTCAGGCGCGGTCGGCAGGTGGAGCTGCCAACTGCGAACGAACTTAGTCCAACGCGCAATGATGAAAGATCCCAGATACGGCCATGCAGATTGGTGGAAAAACTGAGGCGCTGTAAAGCCAGGATGAAGTGGCCAATGAACCAGCGGAGCGTAAGTTCGACGCAAGGAGTTGAAGCGCAAACAGCAGTCTGGTGCGAATTAGCCAGTGAGGCGATGAAAGAACTGCAAAGCTGCCAGACCAACCAGCTTGGCGGCGACGCAAAGCGCGCAGCTGCGCGACAAGGCGACGACCTCGGCCTTGCAACAGACGCGACGAAGCGCGGTGACACCCACACGCATACATTGTTCCGTCGGCGGCGAGGCAGAATGGCTGCATCAGCGCTGGAACTAGACGGGGGCACCGAAAAGCGATGTGGCCTGCATGCAACGCACACACATAAACACAAACAAACAAACAAACAAACAAACAAACAAACAGACAAACAGACAGATAGACAGACAAACAAGCACAAGGAGTCTCGGAAGAGGACTGGACGAGAGGGAGCAGGAGAAGGTGGGCATATGCTTCAATATCTTTGAAATCTTGACGGTCAATCGCAACATTCCTGCGATGACGGCAATCCTGGGTTCTCTCTAGATATCTGCAGTCCCAGTAGCCCAGTCTAAGGGGTAGATGGATGATGTGGGACGGGCCAATCAGCGATCGCGGCAGACCAGATCAGATATCGGGAATTGGCCATCGAAATCCAGGGCCCACTAAGCGCCCGACACCCTGACAATCTCCTTCGCACGGTGGAGGATGCGCGGACCCGTCCCCATCGCCTCCCTTTCCCCCCACCGTCCCGCCCTCCATTCCCTCTCCCTTTGCCGTATCCCCCTCCCTTACCCCTCTCTTCTCCCTCTCTTTCCCCCTGCCCCTCATCCGTCCCCCCTTTTTCCCTCCCTGACCAATGCCCAAACCTGTCGATCCAGCCAGCGGATCCATGACACTGTTCCGTGCCCGAACTCTCCGTTTACTTTGTGCATCTGTATGAGCCTGCAACTGCTTCTCTAGCCGCTGCGTACGCTACGGATCTCCCGCAGGCCTCTTCTCTTGACGGCCTCATGTATACATCAGTGTGAGATGAGCACTATACGACAAAGTGTATCGTTCGAGTCATGTCCAGTCCAGTCCAGTCCTCGCCCTCCCCTCCATCCCTCTCATTCCCAGGTGCCTCTCCCCTCCCCCTTGGCAGAGGGCCTCACCCACCGATAGGTGTCAGCGAGCGGAATCGATGAAGGGGGCAGCCCCGAACGTGGACCAACTACTAAACCCAGCATGATGCTAAATCTACTTAAGTGTGACCGACGGCCCGCTCAAGGAGATCGATCGGGTCGAAGCTTCGACCCATCAAGATGAAGCCCAACCGTGGGGAATAGCTACGTGACGGTCAGGGGGGAAACCCACCAAAGCGCGAAGAAGGGCAAAAGCAACGCATACTGCCTCCTCATCCTCATCCTCCAGGGGAGGGCCAGCGTGTGAGAAGAGCAGGAAAAGAATGGAGGGAGAGGGAGCGTCAGACTCCGCAGGACTTGTCGGAGCGGCCACGACCATCCTGACAGAGCCACCCGAAACAAAATGCTGGCGTGCTTTGGGCCACGACGACGTTTAAAACATATAGGTACGTCTCTCGGTCCTCCGCATGGCCCAAGACTGATACATGGAATGGCTTCGCGGCAACCAGAATCCCGAACCCGACTACCTAGAATTCCAGCAGGCCCCGTGAGGACGATGTCCTGAGCAATATTTCAGGCGAAGCAAACTGTAGGAACAATAGGATCCGAGGCAGCGAGTGAACCAACGCGCGAGCGCACGGCGGACAAGACTTTTCTCGCAGCAGCGAGTCATCACCGCATTCGAGGGCAGCTGTGGGATGCAACAGGGCCGAATTAAGCACAGCAGGCGAAGGAAACAGAAGAAGCGCGCGGAGGAGGGAGGGGAGCACGAGCACGAGCCTTCTTGAGGTCTGCCACGGTGTCACCCTTCTCCCACTCGATCTCGAAGGACCGCCGACCCGCGTGGTTGACCCACAGGAGGCCGCCACCCTTCTCCTGTACAATGATCGCCCTCGCGTCCTGCGGGGATGGCTTCTAATATTACTTGAACGAAATAGCACATACGCACACACGACAGACAGACCGACCGACCGACCGACCGACCGACCGACAGATAGACAGACAGACAGACAGACAGACAGATAGACAGACAGACAGACAGACAGACAGACAGACAGACAGACAGACAGACAGACAGACAAACCGACAGACTGACAGACAGACAGACAGACACACAGACACACAGACAGAGAGACAGAGAGACAGACAGACAGACAGACAGACAGACAGACAGACAGACAGACAGACTGACAGACTGACAGACAGACAGACAGACACACAGACACACAGACAGAGAGACAGGCAGACACACATACAGACAGACACAGACAGACAGGCAGGCAGGCAGGCAGACAGACAGACAGACAGACAGACAAACAAATCAACACAAACAAGAGAACAAACAAACGAAAAAACAAATCATGCTGATCGTGCCTCCGCTCGCACTCGCTCTCCCTCTCTCTCCCTCCAGCCCACGGCTCCGCACCGCGGCCTCCCCCCTGGAGACCACGGCCGCGGGCACCACCGCGGCAGGGACACCCCGCCGCGCCCCGCGCGCCGCTTCGGGAGCCGTGCTCTGGACCCCCCGTGGAGTGGCGGACCGGGACATCCCCTGAGATCCTGGCGACTCAATTTTTTCGAGCCAGGCGTTTTCGCACAATGTCGGGCCCCGGGACCCTGACGCATCGATCCGGCTCGAAAAATGGCGCAGAAAGATAGGGTCTAGGGCTTCGGACTCGATTTTTCACGTCGTCCAAATTTTTTGAGACGTCGGATCTCAAGGTCTTCCCGCCCGCGGGCGCAGGCGGGCACCTCCGCGAGATCCCGGGTCGCACCTCCAGAGCGGCAAGCATGGCCTCCAAGGCACCGAGAGGTCACGGACCGGCTCAGATAAGCGAGGCAGGAAGAGAAGGAGAACCAGGAGGCACCGAGAGCTCACGGACCAGCTTCCTTGTCTGCCTCGGGCAAGCCCCCCGGGTGCTGCTGAGGAGACTTTAGCGACCTTCTCCTCCCCGCCTCCTCCTCCTCCTCCTTCTCCTCCTCCTCTTCCTCCTCCTCCGCCTCCTCCTCCGGCTCCTCCTCCGCCTCCTCCTTGTGAGCGCCCTCTGTTTTTCTCTTCCGCACTCCACATCCTCATTGCCTGTTGCCCCTCTTCCTCCTCGCCCCCGTGCCCCCACTCTTTCTACTCGGCCTCCTCCTCCCCCCCTCCTCCTCCCCTCCTCCTCGTCCTCCTTCCTCCTTGCTCCCCTCCTCCTCGTCCTCCTCCTCCTCCTCCTTCTCCTCCTCCTTAAATTATTCATGTGATTGTTATGCTTAGTCTTCTTGTCTTACTATCAATACTATTCGTAGTATTGCTCTTGTTCTTCCTCCTCCTCTTTTTCTTCTTCCTCATTTTCCTCCTCCTCCTCCTCCTCATCATCATCATCCTCTTCTTCTCCCTCCTCTTCCTCCTCCTCTTCCTCCTCCTCCTCCCCCTCCACCTCCTCCACATCCCCAGCGTCTAGCAACAAAGCAGCCTCAGAACACTGCCCCCGTCCGCGCCAGTCCCGCAAGTTTCTGCGAGCATCCCCAGCATCACTGCGAATAGCCTGGACCTATGGTGCAAACACGAAGGTCGTCAAGCGGGCTCAAAGTTGAACCGCCTGCCCACACACTAGCTGAGATTCGGCATTTGTTGCCCAGCCCTCTCCTCGTCGCTGCCATCATGTTCCTCGTCCCCGACTGTGTCCTCGGTCAATGACCGTCTGCGTTGAGACCGAGGGCCAGATACCATCTTCGAGATCCGAGACAGGCTTACCTCCTGCCTCGGAAGGCCGCTCCGCCAGTTAGCCCTTTGAGCTGAGACCAGGGTGTTCTTGGGCACCCTGGAGCTCCCACACGAGGCCTCCTCGAGAGGCGGCTCGCTGCTGGGGATGGAAGCGGCGATGGTAGCAGGGATGGTGTTGCCAGTGAGTGGTAAGATGAAGGGACTCTCTCCTCACTGGACCATGGCGCCTTCACAGTGCCGCAGCGCGCTGCGCCCCTCGCGCCAACGAGACTGCACGGCGGAGCTCGCGGAGGCTTCACGGCAGCCAGAAGCACCAGGCGGTGACGCTCGCGGCTGCAACGCGCAGCAGAGGGCGTAGTGGCGCAGGGGGGGACAGACAGGAGCGGGAGGTGACGATGACGGTGAAGGCATCGTCCATAGGCATCGTCATCATCGTCATCGTCATCGTCGTCATCGTCATCGTCGTC